CCAGAATAGTTCGGAGGTCTAAATACTCTTATCTAGAATACATTTAGAGTATAATTATTAATATCATGTTTTAAATATCGTCTATTAATTTCAGGTGTGTAGACGTGGTACCTGAATTTCAGTGCGTTCAGCTATCCACTTGGCGATTGCTTCAGCTCCAAAACCGACTCTCTCTATGTCCATAGTGTCAGCAGGCTTCGGTTTGCCTTTCGGTGGGAAGTGCATGTACACCGGCGCAGTATGCAATTTCATCTACATATACACGAACGTATCCCATTTACATTTGTTTTAGCTCCGTAAATCCGTAAGCCTCACCATTTGAAATACGTCTGATCCTTCGTCGAAGTCAATAGATGCGAAGAATAACTTCTTGGAATGAGCTTGTAGATATCTGAACGAGTTCGCTACTATCACAAACTCGTCCTTTGCATACCNATCTTTACTGAAGACTGTAATTTTATTTTTATTAATAAATATACCTGCACACGTGACACTGTCTTTGTGGTGCCATTGCAGTGAACATCACGACCACTGAATAATTCCTTGGTGTAGCTTTCACGTATTCTTTAAACTTTGCACCATTCAGTTTAATCACTGGCCTCGTCATAGCTAAATCTGATAACTGTTGTACACGATCTGACAGTGAAGCTCCATGGGNTAATTGAAACTTAAAACGAGTCCTAGAAATATAATATATTTTTTGTAACCCATCGCGAATATTATAATAAATAAGTTATAAATCTTCTGCTACGTGTCCCACCGTGGCAGAGGAACGAACGCGACCTATAATGCTTATCACAGACGAGGTGTACATACAACAGTAGTCAAGTAAAAGTCGTACGCCTACGCACAGTACACGTGGACGATAAATCAAATAAAAAATAAATTGTATTTTATTTCTGATATTTCGTATCAATTTGCATATTACATTTATTCTGCGTTTTGTAAATAAATTATAGAGAATTGTGGGATGGAGGGTGGCGTGATTTTAAATTTCGCCGCGTCCCGCGCTCCGCCAAGGCCGCCGGGCGACCTCCACCCTCGGCGCAGCGGCCATGATGCGTATCCCCTACTCTTCTCGATCGACCGCCAGCTGACCGAGTCATGAATGGGTCATTGACCTCTGCCCGAATGCTGCGCCTAAACTTTGGAAGCTTGTATCTTCGGAACCGAT